GTTACCTTAAAATGGCTCATTTATTTCTATAAGTCGCCCCGAGTCGATATCAATCACTCCGTAAATGAGAACAACTTTTTCTGTCAAAGCCAATGTTTTCACATGAATTAAACAGTAAAAGGCACTTTTATTGTCATGTCAATATGTATAATAGACCGCACTTAATAAATGCATAGAATGTATGTGGTCTACTCATCATGTATATATAAATATGTGTATTGCAATGCTATATTATAATGGTTCGAGTAGAGAAAGATAAGTGTCAATATATTTCTACAACAACACAATTTTTTATAAAAAAAAGAGCAGAGGTGGTAAGAGACATTATTTCGTTATATATACAAATTAATTTTAAATAGTTAATTTTTTTTTAAATTAAATTAAATTAATTTATTTTATTTAATAAATGGAAAACATACCGTTCCAGTCACAGTTTGACTCATTAAGTGTTTCTTTGCACAAATCTTTTCAGTGATTTTCAGACTTTAAATAGGGCTATAAGAAACGAATGAAATATGGATCCACTGCTTAAATGCTCAGTCAAAGCAACAGTCAGCTATCAGCCATCTAAAATGACTAAAAGCGCAACAGTAGGCTGTTTAAATTGTCAGATCCGTATTTTGAAATGCTCATAGTTATTATTAATCGACTAACTTAAAAAAAGAGAAGCTATCGAATGTTATATACATTTATAGATGTGCTTGAAGAACGAGATCGCCACTACTCAAAGAAAATATGAATAAAGTGATGTGTAATTAAGACATTATAAAGTCCAATTGTCTATCAACATTTCACGATACACACGAATGACACTTTCAATTCCTTTCATATCCAAAGTTTTTATCAAATTTTGAATTCAACGATTACTACCTATTTGAGGACCTCTAAAAAAATGCTCTATGGAAATATATATTTGTCCCATGAAGAAGTTATCTCCTATTTTGAGCTATTTTGAGACGAAATACAAATCAAGCTACAAGAGAGATATCGGAATGTATAAGAAGCACCGGAATAAATACATTGCTATTGAAGGAAACTGTATTAATAAATTTTGCTAGCAACCGATGTGTTTTTATAACTTCTTCAGCCGATGTATTACATTATCATATAATACTGGTAATGGTTTATGGGTTAAGTTAAGGCCTTCATGCACTGCAATCAGCTTAATGAATTGTGGATCTCTCTGTATTTAAAAATTTTGTACCTCAAGGAAACGAACCAGCTCCTTCGAACAAAGCTTTGAAGTTCTTATTCTATTGGCCTAATGCATCAAAGTTAATGATCAGATGTTCCATAGACTGTTCCTCATCACAGCAGATTCTGCAAATATTTTTGCCGGATATATTTATTCTATGTAGGTGTTAATTGCAGGCGGTGTGGACAGTTACTCCACTGGACAGTGACTTTAGATTCTGCTTGTTTAGATTGAGAACAATGTTTGAACCAGCTCATTCGGTGGAAACTTTGAAGTTCTTATTCTACTGGCCTAATGCATTACAATTAATGATCAGATGTTCCATAGGCGCTTCCACATCACAGCAAAATCTACAAATATTTTTGCCTATATTGTGTAGGTGTTAATTGCAGGCGGTGTGACCAGTTAGTCCACTGGACAGTGGCTTTAAATTCTTCTTATTTAGATTGAGAACAATGTTTTTTCTTTTGACATCAAAATTCAAGAATGGTTTTCTTTTGTCATTAGCATATATTATTATGTATATTAATAAAAATTCGTTATTATTATTATATCACATTTTGATTAAATAATTATTAAAATTTATAATGTATTTAAAATTTAAAATCTACACAACTGAAATTTACTTTCTTTCAATAAAAAGTATTAACATTTTTTGTAAATATTTACTTTCTGCATGTTGGTTTAAAAAATTTGAAATATTTAATTAAAATTATTGTGTGTACAATTTTTTACCGAATTTTGGAGAAATTTTTTTGAATTTCATTCACACTTCAAAACAAACAACATTTAACATAAAAAGCATACGTGCGGTTACCGCCAATTTAACGCCGCTCCCAATAAATACCGGCAAAACAAAGAATTAAGTAAACATTTGGATAAAACCATGGTATGCGCAACAGGCAGCTACCAGGCGGTCGCAACATTTAATGGAATTAATTTTTAGTAAAACAATATAGCAATAACAGCCATATATACCGAAATCGAAAGAAGTGGTATTAACAGATTCGAAATACTTTATTGTGTTGTAATTGCAGGCAACAAGACTACGCCACCTGCCACAATTTGTAGGCACTTAAAAAAAAGCCATAAAATATTTTTATCTATATTTGTTTATCGCGCACATACATCGCCCCATATATCCGCAGATACAATTTGATTCTAGCCTCTGCAGTAGGCGTATCCAAACAGGGCGCTGTCAGCGGAATTACTTGGGTATTTATCAAAGCACAAAAAATGTCACTCAACCGAAATTTTTATTTACCATTTCATTTGTGTAAACATTTCTTTTTTTTTTACTGACGTACGACCCTCACTCCTATGCGAACCGTAAACCAAAACAATTCAAACCAAAACATTTTCCTGTTTTCAATATTTAATTTATTTTTCCCGTTATTTGAAGGTTTAAGTCCTGTTCCGGATGCGATACCAGTCCAAAGTAATTCAACACAAATCAATGAAAATACGTATCAAAATTAGCGAAATGTGATAAAATCCGCTCATTATCCTTAATGACATTTCCTGTTTTCAGAAAATGTCATGTGGCATATAATCCCACTTACAGGATTATAACACTGAAGGGTCATTTTGTTTTCAATGTCAGTTCCATTTATTACAAATCGAAATTTATGCATAATAAGCCAAGTACACATAACAAAAAGTTTTAATTTTAAGAGGAATTCCAAATAAAAAAGATACATACTATATTAGTAAAATACTGGATAGTACGTCTTAATGGGAATGATGGATAAATAATTTAAATACGTAAGTGGGCATCTTATAAACGATGAAGAAATAACGACGAATAAATCACAGCGGTAACCTCTCTTCGTTGGAGATTACCAACTGAGCTACCCAGATAGCTCCAACACAATGGAAGGAATCAGCGCGAAAGACTATGGGGTTAACCCAAAAGAAGAAATACTTGCAAGTATGAGTCAAGAAAACTTGGTTTTTCAGGCCGAAGTACACGCAAATGAACTATGTCTAAGAAAATACAAATATAATAAATATAAAAAATATATTATCTCTGAAAGGAAATCAGTACTCCTAGCTCGAGTGACTTCTAAGCTAGTGTGCGAATGCGTTAAACTTCTCAAAGATCTTGCTGAAAGAAACAGGGTCTACTTAATATGAATCCCAGGACAAAACGGATTTGATGGAAGTAAGAAAGCCGATGAACTAGCCAGAAAAGGGGTGGCTTCATATAATATTGGACTAAAACCATTTTGCGGTCCTTCATGAAGTTTTTTTTAAATTTAAAATTAATAAATGGCAGAAAAAAGCAGCTTAGACTAATTGGAATGTAATTGCCTGCAGTCTAGCTAAAGAATTCTCACCGAAGCGATCAAAAACTAGAACTAGGAAACTACTAATCCTAAACAGAAAAGGCATTCGACTTGTCACAGGCTTTATCCCTGGACATTACATAGTCAAAAAACATCTATCGAAATAGGTGTTACAAGAGACGATAGCTGCAGACTTTGTCCAGATGAAGAGAAATCAACAGCATACATTCTGTGTTACTGTTATAGTCCATCCGGACTCAAACTTCGTTACTTAACAACTGCCTATCCACTAATAACGGAAATAAGCAACATCTCTCTAAGGGACATAATGCTATTTTTAATTGCTACGTGCCTATGGAACTGAAACGGATTTGTCATAATAATCCTCCAAAGATGCAATGATGTGGTGACATTGTTCCCAACCCTTCCAAAATGTATCTGTCTAAATGAGAACAGTACCTAAGTTGCCATCTTATACTGGATGAAGAAATAGGACTCGGTAAAGTAGGTTTATTAAACAATAAGTAGTTCCATACCATAAAAAACTAAGTCAGTCAGAAGAGAAAAATTGTCTTCAGTATTACAATAAATTAAGGAAATCAGACTCGATAAAGTAGGGCTAACACTACAATATTTCGAGAAATACTCTTAATCCAGAAAGAACATAACAGAACTGTAGGTCGCAGTAGTAAATTCCCAAACTTAATAATAATGTACCGTTTTAGTAGGAGTACACTTCTCCCATGATATTCTTTCACTTTGAACAGCTGATGAGTGCGTGATATATCAGGTGTGTTGTTAGAAATGCCTTTTGCGATAGTTTTTTTTTCGTTGTCACTCCTCTAAGAGGGTGTTACGCATTATACCTGCTTCATGTCAACTATACGCAAATAGCAGATCATTGCTCTCTACTTTCCGGATGAAAGTAGAATATAATAGATTGTGCAGGAATTACCCAACTGTGACTTATGCAAGACTATGTTCCAATTTTTATTTATTTAAATTGTTAACAGTATAATAGTTAATACATATATGAGTCCTTACCCTTTATATGATATGATTGCACTTTTAATGAAAAAATTGTAAATTTTTATTTCACCTTCAACGACGTACAATTATTTTGTCAATTATTTTTACTTTATTAAATGAATTTTCGCTGTAGAACATTATGGCGAAAAAACATTTTAACTTGATTAAATAATATATTAATTTGTATAATAATTCAAAATAAATATAACAAACCAATAAATAATTATATTAATCCATAAACACATTCCTAGTATGCAATAAATAATTTTTAATATTAAATTAATTATTCTAAAATATTTATATTAACTATTTTTAATTGACTAAGTATTTTTGTTAAATATCCGCCCACATGTATAATCCATATTTTATGTAGAGTTTACTTGGAGAGGATCTACATTTTCACCATATATTTGAACAGCAACACGATAGAACTTGACATAATAGTGACGAATCGTTTCATATAATCGACGCCATGCAGAATCTCTTAGCTATTGAAGTTTCTTGCTTATCGTATCCAAGTAATTATAGCCGCTATAAGCCTTCCTGTTACTCCAATCTTTTGAGTAACTACCGAACCCAACCTCATGAGGACTAGAGCCAGAAGAGCTGTAATAGGAACCAGGAAAGCTACTGCCAGCGAATGAGGAATACTCTTTATTTTGTTGCCATCAAAAGTTTTTCATGAAATAAATATATTTTTATTATGGAATATAATGAATTAATGGGATAATAATTCATAAATTGACCTATATTAAACTTACCAGAAGGATCAGAATCATAGACATGAGAATGTGACTGCACTAAATGTGGATGAATTTTACATAAAGTTTTAAATTTAAGATAGTGAATTAGCCAGCCAACAGCACCCAGTATCAGTACATTCAATCCGAGTACACCTAATAATAGTGTCACTGCTGTCATCTTTAAATGAGCGATTTTCATGAGAATAATGAGTGGTAATATGATTAGCCATTTTTGACGTTTCCTTTTTTTGAAACGCCCCTCTACGAATTTAGAAAATTTTAGTAATTTTAATAAAATTTAATATTCCAAGTACTAACCACCAACTTCAGCATCATTAACATGAGCACCGAATTCAGATGGTAGCGCCAATTGTATGCCATGATTCCGTCCAAATACTTCTGCAGCACGTTTGAAGAATTTTATGAAACTTGTCAATTTACTATCGCCTAATAAAACACATAAAATAATTTATAATAATATAATATACATTATATTAAAATGTGACAAAAGAATTATAAACATACATATACGTATATAATAATATAATAATAATGAAGAGTACACCACAAGTCGATTAGATTGGATTGGACAGAAATTTTGTATCAGACTCAAACTCTTCTTTTTGAGGTACTGATCTTTATCAGACTAAGACTTTTCTTCAATGTGAATTTACTTTACTGTACTCAAAGTAAAAAAATAATACTTAATTCATCAAGAAAGTCATCGAATCTTCAGTTAAAACCCAACCATTACAGAGTTCACTTGGTCAGTTACAACAAGAATTAGAAGATAATTCTATAGTCAATACTCTAGATAAATTTTTTTGTTCACCTCATTCATCCATTATTTTATTAGTTTCTGAAATCTAATTCTAATAAGTTGCCATTTGGGGATGCATAAAACAACTATGGAAAACTCTATATGGAAACTATGGAAAAGAATATACCTATAACTCACATTACTACTTTCTGCTAAGTACATATACTCGTAATAATAAGATTACAAAAAAGGAATCGCAAGTCATTTACCATCACTAAAGAGATCTAGAAAATCAATGTATCACTACTTCTTCACAACCAATTTGATTTCAATGATCAAGTGATCATTTATTTGTAAAAATAACTATGGAGCAAAATATTTAAAGTAACCATTAAGATGGAAGCAGAAAATCCTTTTGAATTTACTCGATTTCGGAAATGTGATATAGTGAACTTGAGTAGATTTAAGGGCGAATCTAAAGGCAAAGACAAACTCTGGAATTAAAATTATAAAAATCTAATATATCGGAAGTAAACTAACAGAAGACATCGTACTTTGAAAGATTAACATCCATGAGTGTGGAGAAAGATCTGAAGAAAGCAGTATGTGAACTAACTCATTATTTGTTCCACATTAAGTGCGAAATTATGTTTGTATTTTTATAGGGTGTATTAAGTTGTACCTACGTTATTAATTTGTTGTATAAAAATAGTTTAAGATTTAATCATTTTTAATCAATTTTCACTTAAGATTTTTATTGCATTTAATAAACCCAAATTTTTCAACATATTTTACTACAATTAACCTCGAATAACAGTTACTCGTGGGTTACGTCTTCTTACTGAATTCGGTCTATTACGCCTAATCCGACGAACTGCTCTAAAACGTAAATTAGACACTCTCACTAGTTTTCTATTTCCACCGGCAGTGGGTGCTTGAGTAGGACTTGTTGGTGAAACTGTTGGTGCCTCAGTCGGTGCGTCCGTTGGAGCTTCTGTTGGTGCATCCGTTGGGGCATCCGTTGGGGCATCAGTAGGTGGAGGATCGGTGACTTGAGCGCAAACATAACCAATTAAAGCCAATGTCATTAAAATTGTTAAAAATTTCATTTTCGTTAATTTTTTGAACTATAGTTGGACGTTGTTAAAAAATATTAACTACCATTTTTATGCTTTTTGCTTCTTATATATAAAGCAATTGGAATTTAATGTCTATTCATTTCTTTACTTTTTTAAAAACTTGTGCAAATATTTACGCATTTTCTTCTATATTCAAAAATTTATAATAGAAATATTTAGAAGAAAAAAAAATTAAAACAAATGTTTAAGCAGGCGAGCTGCACAATTAAGAGCTTTTGTGTGGAATTAAAAATATTTGTGGAAATTTTTAAAATATATATGCTCGGTATATTAAGGTTTTAAGAAAACATTATATGCCATTACGAATTTTCAACAATTAGACAATTAACAGAAATTTTGATTGGTTTGAACAGATTTTAGCAAGTTATTGACAGACAACTGAAATTTTATCTCTGCACTATCATTCCAAACTCAGCTATACAAATTTGCTGAGGAAGTCATCAATTGCCATGAGGATGTACGAAAAAAGACATTTAGGCAAAAAATCCGAAAAACGCTGCTACTTTGTAAGTCAACACCGTTAGTTCAGCAGAGACTCTTATGTACTTAAACATATGTACTACTTTATGACAAGATAATCTTATATATTCGTACCAGTCCTTATAGCTTTTGTTTAAAACCTTCAATCCTAAATGGCCTATTGTAATCCATTTAAAATCTATCTATCTTATTTTAATGTCCTTTGTATTCGCTTCAAACTAAAATAGAATTAAACCCCTCCCCATTATTCCTAGAGACCTTGTCCTACCCCGGGACTACGTTAGTATTACGTCGTGGTAGAGTCCCTATTAATTATTTAAAACTTCTATCGATGTGAACTGCGTTCAGACCCCACCGCTGTTTCAAGTAACATGCCTTGCACTTCTTCTTGGTGTAATATATCTGCTTGCTGTAGCTGCCTTCTGTCAAGATCTACTTTTTCAACCTCAGTATCTTTTCAGCAAACATTACTATAATATCCTTGGGGAGAAAACACCAACTTCTCATTTGGGTAGCCACTTATTGCACTCAAATAATGTATGTTCTGAAGTATCATCCTCAGCTCCGCTATATATACAAATTAGTGACTTTACTTTGCATATGCAGTAGAGTTAGCTTTTGAAATATCAATGACTGGATAAGAACCCAGTAAGATAGTAGTTGACCTCGCCAATGTTTTTTGATAGTTAGAATTTTAGTCTAACTATTTGACATAGTCTGGGTTTTTCCATTTTTACAGTAATTAACTTGAGTTATGCGATATTCTATACTCCAGAAGAAACAAATGATTTAACTGCTAATATTTGTCTATTATATAGTGATAGATTCACCTCTTTATTTCCAATAAAAAATCTTTAAGTAAAGCTTGAATATTAAAATTTTTATATTATTAGATTTTATATTCAATTATCAGTAGGTCTAGTAATGAACTCATGGGTAGCTTTTTATGCCTCAACTATCATGTGCAGTTTACTTGAGGTGGTATTAAGTCTTTGGTCACAATAAACTCGTAAACTTTCGATTTTTCGAATTCTTTCAGATATGATGACTTTTATTAAGGATCCAAATCATATATATCTGAATATTACTATATTACTCATATTTATATGAAATTAATGGAATTAAGTTGATAGCTAATAGCTTAACAGGATTGTCTGTGGGTTAGATGAGTGTTTTTTTAAAACATTAGCATTTTAAAAGATAAAAGTTATTAAATTCAATAAAAAACAAAATTTTCTGTACAATTTTGAGAAATGAATTAAAAAAATGATAATAGTGTAATAGCACTACTAAATATGTTGCTAATAGAACAGTATTTAAAATCGGTATGGAGCTGCGACTTTATCCTTAAAGTTCATTGTATGTAAGTGTAGGTAATAAGACATACTAACCAAAAACTAATGTCGTCATTAATAAGGTAATAATAACATATTTATAGAAATGCAATTTAAATAATATTAAAATCACTTAAAAAAAAATTTCATTCAGAGAATGAAATTCAGAGATATTCTCAATTATTGTGAACCCCCACTATTTTTAAACTTCACATATAAGTTCAAGTTCAAAGCCTATGGTTTACTCCACTTTAGTCACAAGTAAATATGCCATACATATTTTTACCTTAAACTTAAACCATAAAATTTTGAAAAACCAGGACTGTGGAACAATAGATTTTTTTTCTATTTAAACTTGATGACGTATTTTATTGATAGATAAGAACATTTGCAAAAATTTATAAAAATTCTGCAAACTTTAAACAGTTGTTTAAATAAGTAATGAATTATAAGGCAATCATATATTTACTTAAAATAAAACTTAACAAATATTGCAAAAATAAATTTATTATAAACAATTATATTATTAAACAATTTGTAAATATTTTTATATTTATAATAATAAAAATATTTATATATTTTAAAACAAAATTAAAATTAAACCCTAAACGCATATTTACTTTTTTGTTAATTTGGATATCTGCGACAAAATTTTCGAAACTATTATGATTATATATAAACACTGGATATTTTCTTATATACAAATTTTCTATAATGACATAAATGCTGAAGATGATTAGTCAGACGCATACGTTTACTAGGATATATGAGGGAATATAATTTGTGCGCTTTTGTCGAAACAACTTCTAGATAACTGTAGTGTTTTTCAGGCAGAAGTGACTGCCATGAAAGAAGCTTTAGCTTATCTGGAAGTAGATAATATACTTGAAACGAATATATACATACTATCGGATAGTCAAGCTGCTTTAAAGTCTTTGAGTTCAGTCCAATTTACGTCTAGTACAGTCTTTAACTGATACACATCTCCAAATGAAATGTCGAAGCAAACAAGCTAGCCGGACGAGGTGGTTCAAGATACCACGCGGAACACCTAAATAATCTGGGAATATTGTTGACATCATGCAAATTGGTATTGAGTTCTTCGTGTGCTGAACTTTTTAATAAAAGATGGGAAGACTTTACAATATGCAGGCATCTGCCACACACCAATAAAAGAAAATCGAACTCTCTCATAGAGATGCCCCGTAGAGAAACAGTAGGTAGTGCTTGAAAATACGTTTTTATAGGTTAGCTTTTCAGTAACAGTCTTTACATTTACATAAAAAATATATTACTTATTGTTTCCGCTTTACATTTCTACTGTGTTTGGAATAAAATAAACGGGGTATCAGCTCCCAACGGAGCGGAGCATTGCAACCATGGTTGATATTTTGTGCTGCAACAGACCCTAACCAAACAGAACACATTCCGCATTCCGAATGAAAGCCAGACTGTCGGCCGTTGAGTTATAAGGTTCTACTATATTATTTAATTAACGAAATTAGTTACTAAAAATAGTGAATACTAAATATTTACTGTGGAGTTACAGGACAGAAAATACTTTTTCTTTTATGTAACTGATGTAACAATATCGCTTTCAAAACAATTTTAAGTAGAACATAAAGTGTACCCATCTCAGGACCCTAAATAACAAGCTCGGCAAAAAATATTTACAACGATACTTTTTGTAGTATTAATGTTAATGTATTGGTATTAATGTACTAGGCTAAATGAGAAAAGATTTAATAATTATGTTTGGTGAGTTTAATTTTTAATATAAGTTCTACAAATGTGTTAACATATATAATTTGTTAGTTAATATTATTTACTCAAAACAATAAATTTAATAATTAAAAAATAAAAACATAATTAATTCAATTCTTCTATAGCTGATTTCTAATTTCATTCTAATATAAACACAGCTAGTGAATGTGTTAATGAACAAAACTTCAAGTTCGAACATACAAATCAAGTACGCTTTGGTTCAATTGGCTAATGAACACTGACTCTGAGCTTCAAATTTGGAAGTGTAAGAGTTGAATCCTTGGCACTAGCAGTCTAAAAAATTAATTTTTAAATAATTAAATATTCTTTGAAGACCACTGACACTATTCAACACTATTTAAAAGAACTATATGACCAGCCAAAAATACAATTAATTAAAATAATAAAAATCTTGTTGTTGTGATTCACTACTGTTTGAAATGCCTCTCTATTAATTTTACATAAATAGAAAGCAACAAAACTGATTGAAGTGGTTGTTAAAATTGAAAACATAAAAATTGTAATTTTGTCATTCATAAATTTATAATGTCACAAATAATATAATATTATCTATAAAAAATTTATCTAGAATCTATGATCTAAAGTGGATCGTTGTGCATATTAATATAAATTTGATATCTTTTTAAAATTATAAGCCATATGTAGTAACTGACAGGTTTTGTGTTGTGCTACACCCACAATTTTGTCAAGGGGACTTGTACTAGAACATACTATACATTTTATTTAACTATTTTTGTTTCCTAAATTATTTAAAATAACAATTAAAGAACAGTACCAAAGGGGAGATATAATAAAAAACAGTCCTCCTAAAAACCTACTATATTATTGGTACAATATCATTACTATAACAAGCACTAGTTCTTATTATCGTGAAATTTGAAATTTCAGTTATTTATAATTCTCATTATGTTGAAGTTTTAATGGCTATACAAGTATAGGCAGCATTGTACCTTCAACTATTCGAGACGGTGCGGTTAGCACTGATATATAACTTCTAAAACGAAGTGGTGTTCATTAAAATTGAACCAGACGATGCTGCTAGCACTGATATATAACTTCTAAAACGAAGTGGTATTCATTAAAATAGAACTAGACGATGCTGCTAGCACTGATATATAACTTCTAAAACGAAGTAGTGTTCATTAAAATTAAACCCAAGTTTCAAATTCAACAGAGTTTGGAATATAAAAATTAATAAAATTTACTGAATTAGTAAGTAATTTTAAATGCTAATTCTATTTAAAAAATTGATCAAATTATGATTATTACGAATGAAATTATTAAACTTCGACATTAAAATTTTTAAGTATAATATGAAGTTAAGAAACAAATAGTCTTTAAATAAATTTCTGATCGTCAGGGGTGTTAGGCATTATTATACTGAAATTATCACCAAATTTCTTTTCTGGTTTTAGTGAATTTATCTTAATAATTCCAGTATGAACTTCTCTATTAAAATATATGACTTAATATGAGTACTGTATTGGTGAAATTAATATGAAATGAATATACTTCGATTTTAGACTAAATGATAAATATTTATATAGATTCATTACTTTCTAAAAATATATAAATATGGTGCTTAGTAAATCTATATTATGGTGAGAATAATACCTAGAAATGGAAAGAATAAGTTTACAAACTTTATTTTAATGTAAAATTATGGTCAAAGATTGTTTTAACAATAATAGAAATTATCAGATAGCTTTATTTCTAATATATTGTTTTAAGAAATATATGAAAAGTATTTTATATGAACTACAAGATAATAGCTGGCGTATTTAAAATTAGTGTTTTTCCTTCTGTTTAGATTAAATTGACAGTATTAAAGTTAGATTAGCTAGGTGATAAGTACTTAGCAATACGCGAAACAGCATTGTATGGTCAGCCAAATTTCAATAAATGTTGTTGCCTTTTCATTCCTATACGAACCCTTCTAAAAATAATTGTACCTATTTCCTAACAAAATACAAACAGCTGAAAAACTTAAAATAAATTTATTTATTTCTTAACTGTTGAAAAGAAAATATTATATATTTTTAATATTAATAAAAAATATTAAATATTTTTAATATTAATAAAAATATTAAATATTTTTAATATTTGTTTATTTTATATTTTTATTTTAATAAAGAGGTTTTTTCGAACAGTAGTGAAATACAACAATAAAAATTTTATTTTTTATATTATTTTAATTAATTAAATTTTTGGCTGACCATACAGCTGTTTGAGTATTACCAAATATCTATCATCATTGGTCTTGGAAATAATTCTTGTATTTAATTATTTGTAAATAAGTATTTTGGAGACTGCAAGTACCAGGAATCGAACTCAGGTCCTGCCAAATTTGAAGCTCAGAATCAGCGCACCTTAACCAACTGATCCAAAGCCGTACTTGTCTTTTTTTTTATTTTAATAAAAATATTATAAATCCCCTTTTATTTGCACGTACATATATAGAGTCCTATAGGGGTGTTAGAAAAAGCTTATTAAAACCCAGTTTGGCTTTCTAATTTAGGAGTTGTCAATCCATAATCAAATAATGTAAATATCAATAGTAACTAACTAAGGTTGGAAAAAGTGATTGCAAATTACTTCAGAGAGTAAAACTACATTCAAGACTCATGACGCACAATATGTGTACATAATTAACATACATAATATGTATACATAATTAATTGTTCACACTGTCACTGTCAGTTGTTTTGCCTTTCTGGCCAAAAAAAAATATTTCTTAAGACCATTTAATTGACTGCATCCATAACTAGAAGCAACTCCATTCAGTGCAGTTAAAGAAAAAATGCATTCAATGGATATTTCTCAACTAGTTGCCGGTCAAAACAAGATATATGACCATATTGACTTAAAAAATTGAGTTCATTCACATAACTTACTATAAATAAAAAAAAACGCACAACATACGTTTTTACAAATTAATTATTTATCTTATGAAACTTATTAGTTCAGTCTTCAGTTCAATTTACACACTATGAGTGCCCTCTCTTCGAACTGCACTCTTAATTTCACTTTTCCCAGCATGCATTTTCATTCAATTTTCCTTACTTATTTCCTTACTTAGTATGTATATTTTTTTGAGATTGAACGCACCTTGCAAACTGCGTACATTGCTGAAAAGTTGTATACTTGAAGGTTCACCCAATTGTATGACGCGTATGAAACGTTTATCCTCTCGTAACTCCCGACTATACTCCTTCGGGAAAGTGCCCAAAACATTGGTGGCCAACTTCCAAATGACCTTTGACGTTTTGTATCTTAAACATGACACCAGACTTCGAGTTTTCATGCAATCTCTCTGATTATTCACAATGTATTCATCGCTTTGCGACATTGAATCATGCGCACGTGCTTCAACCTGTTCAACTTGCGCACTCGCGTTTTCAGTCACATTTTCAATTTTTGGAACTACCGAATTTTCCGCAAAAGTATACGAATCATGAACCAAAACTGTTATCAAAAAGAATAATCCAAGATTTTTATATACGCACATTTTTTGACAATAAACGAACAAAAAAAAACACAGAACGCCGCGTTGCAAGCAATAAGGAAAATGCTCTGCAAGTCTCAGCCGCCTTGGACGAGGTGCTCCAAACTGAAACCGAATGTGAAATGCCAAAAGAACTGCAATTTGTTTCCTTTTATCACAAATTTGCACTACAATCAAAGCGGATTTTCTGCTCGCATATTAGCGCCAGCGCCGCCTCTATTACTCTACTGCTCCTCGACTGTTCCTCTCCTCGACTGTTGATTGTAAATTAGCGACTAGAGTCCGAAGCTGCTTTCTATCGTCCAAACAGCATTTCAATCAGCTAGGTTAGTCGCACAATGCCACAGCATATTAACATTTTTCTATTTTTCCATTTTTCCACTTTTCATAAATTTATCAATTTTCCTTTTTTTTTATGGGTCACCAATGCCAGCTGGTTTTATATGCGAAGCGCACTTTAAACCAGATTGCGCGGCCTAACAAGCTTGAAATTGCTTCGAGCTCCTGGCGTTCTGCACGTCTCACACAAGGCTAGATGATTCGATTTATTGGCTTTACGTTGAAACAGAAAGCAAAAGTCTTTCTGGCTCTGCTGATGGTCTGGTGGCGTTCGTGCGTAATGCTTGGAGCCAATGCGGTAATTGGCGTTATTATCGCCAAGTGATGATAATCACTGAACGACATTCATGGTTTCGCTTCTGTGTGCCAGTGCCAATGAATCCGTGCGGCAAAAATCGCATGTAGATAAGAATGTGCGGAATGAATTGATCCACTATGAGTTCTGCATAATTTTTATTTTTTGTTTATTGCATTTTTCTTGTCTTAATAATGCAGTCAATGTATGGCTTAGATTTCGTGCTGCAATCTCCAAGTAAAAGTCAGGTTGAAGACGTTACGTCGAAATTGATCTTTTTTGTTTTTTAACAAAACTTGCAAGTTGCATAAATGACCAATTTGTATTATTTTAAATATTTATAATAATAATTAAAAGAAGATAAATACAAACCAATCTTTGGTGCACTAAAATAATAAGTGGATTGCATTTAAAATGGTAATCACTTTAAGTCACTCGTTTTGCAAAAATGCAATAATATTAATAACTTATACTAATAATAGTACAAGTAACATACATTAAGACCGAAAAGTTTTCGGAAATTCTCATTTAAAATTCGCGCGCTGTATATTTTTCGATATTTTAAGTTTATGTAGTTTGGCAGCAATTAAGGAAAATTACTATGCAAAAAATGAGCGCGATCTGTCAGACAGTTCGTTTACGGCAGCTGTTGAAACCAGTTCACCTCAGTAGTGCGTTGCGAAAAAAACAATGGAAAAAAATATTGAACAAAGAGTTTGCATCAAATTTTGTGTTTCGAACGAAATTTCGTGTGCAGAATCGTTGCGAATGCTACAAAAGGCTTATGGGGAATCAGTTTTATCGAAAACTCAAGTTTATGAGTGGTACAAAGCCTTTCAGGACGGTCGTACGACCGTCGAAGACATTTCGCAACGCACTACTGAGGTGAACTGGTTTCAACAGCTGCCGTAAACGAACTGTCTGACAGATCGCGCTCATTTTTGGCATAGTAATTAAGAACAGTGCTGCCAAACTACATAAACTTAAAATATCGAAAAATATACAGCGCGCGAATTTTAAATGAGAATTTCCGAAAACTTTTCAGTCTTAATGTATACTATAAATTATATATTGACTAAAATAGGTTAATGGCACCTCACCATGAAAAAGTTAAATCAAAAAAAAAACAAAATGAAAATATAACATTTCATTTTCCGTTGGCCTGAAAACTATAAAGCTGATTCTTTATCATATATCATATCACATATGCGGCTTTATCGAATCACAACAATTGAGAATTAATCTGTTTTATTAAATTATCTATCAAAAAATTAAAAATTGTTGGATAGTGTGACCTACAAATTTCCCAAACACAATTTAGCTTAAAATGATATGAAAACGTTTCAAACATTTCTGTTCAACTCCTTATAGATGACAGTATCTCTCAGTCGTTTACACATATATCTTTAATTAAAACACTTTTAGACAATATGTACACTTCAACCTTGAGTGATTGATAAGTTGAAGTGGTTGATATCAAAATATCATATAGGTATATATATCGTATCTTCAGTTTTCGCAGCAATACAATAAGAGACATTTCTGTTAGAGTTTTGATCCTGTTGAGAACTTCTTTATAGCTCGCAATATCTCTTTATTGACTATTACTCTATTTTTATTATTATTTATTATATGATATTTATTATTTATTATATTATATTTATTATTTATTATATTATTCATTACTATGGACTTAAGCTATATATACACTATATTTTAAGTAGATAGATGGACTAAACCTGTGAAGATCAATGTGTCTCGCATAGGCCTTCGTTGTTTTAACAGTTTCAGTCACACAGATTTTTGTAAGTTTTGATCCTGTTAGGAACTTCTTTATAGCTCATTATATCTCTCAATCCACTACTGCTCTATTTCTATTATTATTTATAATGTATTTATTATTAATTATATTATTCATTAATATGGATTTAAACACTTGTTTTTAAGTAGATAGATGGGCTAAACCTGTAGAGATCAATGTGTCACGCATATGCCTTCGTTGTTTTAACAGTTTCAGTCACAGACATTGTTGTAAAGTTCTAGTTTTAGTCTTTCTTTTCCATAACTCCACTTTTTTTTATTAAGATCAACTATTTCTATGGCTATTTAACACTATGCCATAGGTTGGTACAATGGTTGAAGTGACTGGTATAATGCTATAATTAATTGTACCAGTAAAATATATAGTTGTGAGAGTTATCACACTATTAAATACTGCGTGTCTACCGTAGATAGAGTTCTTTTTTATACTCATTCTGAAATGGCAGTTTCTCATTATCTACCACGAATTTTAAACATTTTTCTTGAGGTGATATTCTTAAACGTTTGTAATTCCTTAAGAGTGTATTAAACTGCCTTACTGAAAGCAAAATATAGTGACAAAAAATTGTGACAAAAAACTTGAAACGCATCTTTGATAATGCCGAACATACATATAACATATGATTTACAGTTATTTTCTTGCAAATAAGTTGTATATGTCTGTATTATCATATTCCGCATAGTCCACCCTTCAAGCGTCTAAAATTGATATAGTGCGCTAATCAATACGCAGCAATCCATTTCCTTTGCAGATAGTCTTGGTAATCAATATACAGCAGTTCATTTTCTTTGAAGATAATCTTGGTTATCTGAAAGATGTTAAGCGTTTACCATTTGTTCTAAAAAAATATTTTGAGCCATTGTCTATTTAATCTTCACGAAGTTCTGAACTACAGAAAAATCCAATTAAAATCGGGGTGATTTTTAACAGTTCAAAATTTAAAACCCAGATTCTACACACTTGGTTTTAATTCTGTTTCTAACCTTAATAATTTTATCACAAATACCCCAATAGAAAAACTTGAAACTATAGGTGATTGGTTTTTGAGTTTCCCAGACTTTTAATATAATTAGGTACTATTTCGATATTATGTTTATTAATGAGATGGACATAAAATGGGTTGGGAAGAAAATGGTAGGCTCTTTTTATTTCGTTTAAGGTGTCATGATATCAATTAGTTTCAGCTAACAATTCATTTTATTCTTTATTAGATATAAAAGATGAATATATATTATATATTAGACATAAAAGGGGAAACTGAAGAGCGAAATATATTAAAGCATCTAAGAAGATTTATGCTGTTTATGATACGGATTTTGTAACGGTTGCTGAAGAGCTCAAAAGTCACCATGTGACCGAATCTTACATTTCATGATTATATAGAATGATATTTTTTTTCATACTTTAAGAAAATATATTTTATAAATTTACAACAATAATTATATACAAAAAATATATAATTTATTGACGTAATACAACAAAATGCAGATAATGAAATTAAGTAAAATATATGGTGAGAGTGGCACGTGACATATATGGTACATAGAAAATTATAAAAATCAAGTAAGTACAGACTTTCATATCAGGCTGTACTCATATGAGCACTAAACCATAAAATAAATAAAACTTTCAATATCAGTATTAATATATCCTCTAACTAAATAAATTTATATAACCACAACGTTTTGCCACACCTTCGTTACACATCCGTAAAGGCTGCTGTAGAGTTAATTTGTTTTCTTATTTCACATTTGAATATATTAAAAAAAAATAAAAAGTGATTATTTATAGTCAATTTATATGATATGGTTCCATGCTGATGCATACTAGTATCGAGTGAATTTTCAGTCTTAGGTTTACCGAAACCCACGAACAAACTGGACTCCTTGTCAATTTCATTGGAATTTTAGACCAAATAAATAACTTGACTACGAAGTGAAAGGCTTGTGGTGTCCTATTTGCAGGCATTTAATAGAAACCGAAAAAACAACTACGGACTGGCAATGCTACAGATTATTTAGTGCAGAAATGATTGCATGTTTACACTTTTATTGTATGTGAACATTTATAAAATAAATTTTAAATATTTTATTAATTAATAATAGATAGTTGCTTGCGATCCATACGACATATGAGATCGCGTGAATTTTAATGCACTTCAACTAGTTTCTGACAAAGAAACACTTAATTTATGGCCACCATGTAGATGAGTGGTAATTTATGAAAGTGGATCAATAATATTTGAAGAGCAAATATCGATGAAAAATAATTCAAATTCAAAATAATAAATAAATAAACAATTCAAGGCATCAGTCACCTTTGATCATAAACATAAGATTAATTACAATTATGGACTTCAGATTATATATTTGTTGAGCACTAAATTGAGCAGAAAGAGTAACTAATATACTCGAAATTTGCTCTAATTCAAATAATTATCATCTTAAACATGTACTCAAAGTTTGCTCCAATCCAAATAATTATCAGCTTAAACATACTGCAAAAGGGTATTATCCTTTTCATGAAAATCTTTCACAGAAACATCAT